ATATTTGCTCCCATTTGTCTATGGTGAAATATATAAATACCTGCGGTTTTTTTTTAAACTGCTCTTCTTTTTCTAACTTGCTCTTATATAGCACAAAGGTTTATTCTGCCTCTTTGCTTCGAATCTCTCCCAATAAAACCTGACCAACTGTGCATTCCTGAAACTGATGTCAAAACCCTCCTCTCCCGGCACCTTGAGACAGTTCAGCTCCTCTGGATGGAATCCGAGTTCCTTCTACACAATCTTCCTGCTAAACTCGAACCTTAGCAAAGACATACCATCTTCCTTCTTTAAACACAGCTGGACTGTGTTTACTCTGTTTACTGAATGAGGCCATCTTCTTATCGGGCACGACAGCTACAAGCGGGTAAACTCACCACTATTGGTGGTAGTGTGGGCGTGTGGATATTCTTGGGTGGCAAGAGCAGTTAGAGATCACCAGGCCCTTTCCCAACTGCTTTAAAATCTGTCTGTCCTAAGAGAACTGTGTTTGGTTGTCTTTGTTTTAAATGAAATTTATAATATGAAATACAATTTGTTATAATGATATATATATATAACTGTAATGGCTCATGATCTCGCCACATCATTCTCCTATGAAGAGCTTTGCGATGCCCAGACGATGTGATAAGCATTTTATCAAATCTAAGGAATTTTATTCATTAGCATAAATCGTGCTCTCTGTGTTTTTCTCTGCAAAACTATTTCTCTAAACAGGGCTCTGGGTCACTGCCCTGTGTGAGGGGTTCTATCTAAATGCTAGTTGTTGCTGTTGTTCCTCGATATTCCTAATACGACTCCTGTCTAACCTGAATAAGCACATAAGTCCGAGAGATAAGAAGCATTGCTGAGTTCTAACCTTTCCTTAATGAAGCCAAACAACAGCTGTGTTTTGAGCTGGGATTGTGAATGTCAAACACAGAAAGGGATGACTATTTACAGAGTGCGTTGGATATTTTTAAAATGGCAGAACATACATTCTAAAAGCTTAACATAGTGGTTTGATCCAGTTAGTCTTCATGTCTGATTTGAAAGTATGTGAAATATAGCATCCACACTGCTCACTTGTTCTTCACGCACTCAGTGTATTAAATCAGTCGCCAATTTGTGAAGTAATTAGCTTTACTCTTCGGGCTGAGGTTTCCAGGAGACATTTTACTGATACTTATATTTGAGTCTGTTCTATGACAAATTATTTTTTTCTGACTGTAATTCAGTGCATCACTGATGGTGTTGCAGTTGGAATTGTGGAAACCAGAGATCAGGCCAGTATCTGAATCAACAATCTCTTATGACCTTCAATAGCATACTCCCTCTATTACCGTCATTCCCATGACCAAAAAATAATATCAGATTTCCCTTAAGGCTTCCAATTGCTTCAACCCTCTTTGACTGACAGGATTCATTCAGGTCATCGAACTGAAACCTAAGCTCACGCACCTCTCTCTCCATGGATGCTGCCTGACCCGCTGACTGTTCCCAGCGACTTCTGTTTTTATTTCACCTGTCCAGCATCTGCAGCATTTTGCCTTTTGATTGAAGTTAATTATCGGGTTCACTCTTTCCAAAATGCTTCCGAAACAATAAGAAAGCAACCCAGATACCATCATTGGTTTAACATCTCATCCGACAAATCAGAGCTCCCCCCGGCACTGTGCTCGCGCATCAGCTTGGACTATATGAGTTCAAAGTTCCAATGCGGGGCTTGAACCTACAATAACAAATAATAAGCTTCGTATCCGGTTATAGCAACTTATTACGTCAGAAGGACATCTCAAAGTGCTTCACAGGATTTACTGTGACATGGAATGATTGTGTATTTGTAGGCAGACTTGGCAGCACTCTTGCGCACAGCAGTGTCCCACAAACAGCCACAAAACGAATGACCAACGTCAGCCTTGAACCCACAATCTTCGGACTGAGAGGCAAAAGAATCGAAGGTGAGGGCCTCTATTGTTGTAAGAGGAGGAAGAGCAGTTAGGTTCCGACCACCATTCCTCCAGTCAGATCGGTCATTCACAAAATTGTTGTTTTTCGGACCTTGCTGCGTGCAAACTAGATGGTGTGGTCCTGTAGCTCAGTGGTTAGAGCATTCACCTCACAAGCGAGAGGACCTGGGTTTGATTCCTGGGCAGGGCAAAATGTTGGGCAAGTTTCCTTACTCCACACGCCTCTGATTATTTAGCCGTAAGCAGGAATCCGGTTTTAGTCGCTTGGCGGATCGCTTTTCCGATGGTAATAATCAGTTCCCCCCCAAAAATCTCATACCTGTAATAAGCTTCAGTTATAAGCTTGAATATGAAGCTTTTGTAGCACAATGTGACTTCACGTTATGAATAAATAACAATAATTTGGTCAGTCAATCCACAACTGTTTGTGGGACGCTGCTGTGTGCAATTGCGTTTTACCCACAAAATATACAGTCAATTCACTTTATAGTATATTCTGTGAAGCACTTTGAGACATCTCGAAGCATGATAAGACGCTGTATCAAATGCAAGGATTATTATATATTAAAATGTGTCTGCCTACAAATACAGTAAGTATATTTGTCAGCAATTGCCCATGAAGGACTTTCAACATTATGGACTGTATCAAATGCAACCAATATTCTTAACATGCAATCACCCTTCAATTATAAGGTACAGCTCCAGAAACTTTGCTTTAACAACGTTTCATGGACTGAATTTAAGTTTTGTGGCTACCTGCCTTTTTGGTGATATTTTATTTATATTGCAGTTAATAAATGTTGAAAAGTGGCCTCGCTACCAACCTTGAGTAGTAAGAGCACATATAGTTCAGTTCCTTCTCAATTTGTTGACTTTATTTTGTGGTGCCACTGAGACACACAAAGGTAGACACTTAGACAAACACTGACACAATTAGTAAATGTTTGCTTCTCAGTGACCCAATTGCATCTCCCAGGATAGAACTGGATCCGAGAGCAGGAAAGTCTTTGCTTGGGTACCTATGTATGTGCTGTTAAATGTTAGCTAAGCTCAGCCAGGCTCACAGTAAGATCACTACAATTGTTTTATCCCCCACCCCTCCCCTAGGACATAATTCACATTGATTGCAATCTTTTGTGATCGATGCTGGAAAGATTATTCCAAATTAGGGGAAATATCACACCAAGTTGGAAGGAACTGTGGAATTCGAAAAGGTTTTGCAATGACAGCTTGATAGGATATACACGTCAGATAGTGAATGACAATTTAAGTTTAACACAAATAAATGGAAACTGCATATAAGAAGTAAAAAAAATAGAAAATAAAAGTACTCGCTGGATGGGATAAATCTGCCAAGAGGGGAAAGCTGAAAGAGACAAGGGGTGCTAGTTGAGTTAACTTATAACTTATCACCTACCATGTCAATACTTTGTGAGGCATTTATAAATAGAGCTAAACAAAACACTTGACTAAACAAATGTCCTCGCGAAAGGTCATTGAACTGAAACTGTTAACTCAGTTTCCTCTCTCCATGGATGCTGCCTGACCTGCTGCGTGTTGCCAGCGACTTCTGTGTTTATATTGAAGAAGATGTCCTTCTTCAACTCCAAATTAATCTTTTTATAATGCTTTTATCTGTCAGAATGACTCAAAGCATCACCAATAAAAACTTGCATCTATCTAACCCCCATCAGACAGGGTAGCATCTTAAGCGCTTAACTGTGGCAGAGCTTGACACCAAGGCCAGAGAAAGGGGAAACATGATTGCAGAGACGGTCAAAGAGAAAGGTTTTCAGGTGTGATCTGAAGATGGACAAGGAGGGGGCAAGGCTGAGGGATTGAGGCAGAGAGTTCCAGAGTCTCAGGGTACAGCGGCTGAAAGCATGGTTGCCCGATGGTGGAGTGGAAGAGACGAGGGACATGCAGGAAGCCGGAGACAGCTGAGCGAAGGGAGCGGGTAGTGGAGAGGAGTCAAAGGAACATAGAAACATAGGAACAGGAGTAGACTATTCAGCCTCTTGAGCCTGTTCGACCATTCTATAAGATCATGGCTGATCTGTACCTCAAGTCCAATTACCCGCCCTTGCCCCATATCCCTTGATACCCTGACCTAACAAATATCTGTCCACCTCAGTCTTGAAGATGTGAATGGATCCAGCATCCACAGCCTTTTGGGGGAGAGAGTTTCAGATTTACCACTACCCTTTGGGTGAAAGAATGCCTCCTGATTTCACTTCTAAATGGTTTAGGAGACTTCCGCACACTGGCCATCCACCCATCTAATTAGTGCTTTGCCCCTTGCTGGCCGACACAGTTAACTTGTGTGTGCGGAAGTCTCCAGGATGTCACTGTGCAGTGTAATCGGTCCTGGACCTGAAGAACATCAAGGTGGCTGGCACGTCACAAGCTGTACTACAAAGGTCCTCTCACCTCACTGAAGTAAGACATCCGCCAACTGAACTGGCTCCAAGGTGACATATTTGGCAATGGAATGCCAGAATTGATGGCACCTTCTGTTAACTCTGCAAGGCACAGCCCTAATGGGTAAGCTGGTCCTAGCTGGACAAGCAGAGGGAAAGTTTGCCAGCTAGTGCTTTCAATGGCAAGTTATGGGGTCTTAGCTGGTTAGACTCCAGCAGTTACCCCAATGCACACCCTGGGGTCCCCAAGCCTTGTGTCTCGCCAACCTGCGCAAAGTACTTTCTGGAATTAGGTAAACAGGATGCATCCCTCCAGGGAGAGAGCGCGCATCCATTCCAATAATCTGTCTCTGGGATTTCCATGTGTAGGCGGGACGCAGGGAATTCTCAGCTTGGTTCGGATACTCTTTATGCACAGTGATGGGCTTCTGCTGGGGTCTGACCAAAAAGCAGAGTGAGGCTCAGTGAGCCTCCCTGACAAGGAACCAGACTTGGCACTTGGCACAGTCTCTGATTGGATGAGGAGGCCAGTGGCTACAGTGGCTACAGTGGCCTGTCAATCACTGGTGGGAGGGAGAGTGACTGAGTGAGAGGCTGGGAGCCAACTGGCCTCCCCCACCCCCTGAGCTCTGCTGCACACAGCCATGAATTGCACCCTTGTAAGTAAAGCTATGCATTGTGTATTTCCCCGCGTAAGTAAGGCTATGGATTGCCCTGTGTAAGTGTGCAAGAGAAGTTATGGATTGCCCTGTGTAAGTGTGTAAGAGAAGCTATGGATTGCCCTGTGTAAGTGTGTAAGAGCAGCTATGGATTGCCCTGTGTAAGAGTGTAAGAGAAGCTATGGATTGCCCTGTGTAAAAGTGTAAGAGAAGCTATGGATTGCCCTGTGTAAGTGTGTAAGAGCAGCTATGGATTGCCCTGTGTAAGTGTGTAAGAGCAGCTATGGATTGCCCTGTGTAAGTGTGCAAGTGAAGCTATGGATTGCCCTGTGTAAGAGTGCAAGTGAAGCTATGGATTGCCCTGTGTAAGTGTGTAAGAGCAGCTATGGATTGCCCTGTGTAAGTGTGTAAGAGAAGCTATGGATTGCCCTGTGTAAGAGTGCAAGTGAAGCTATGGATTGCCCTGTGTAAGTGTGCAAGTGAAGCTATGGATTGCCCTGTGTAAGTGTGTAAAGTGTGTAAGTAAAGCTGAGGACAGCTGGTTGCACTCCCGCTGCAGTTTCCTGTTTGACTGTTTTCTGTGCGAGTGGTTACTAAAAACCTTCGAGGAGGAGGAAGTGGCTTCTGACTATGTTAGTGTTCTGACTTCCACACACAGACCGACATTTCTGATCGTAGTTTTGCCGGCGTTTGTAACTTGGCTTTACACCTCCCATCTCCTTCCTCCATTGACCAACAACAACGTACACACATATATTTCCCAAACATGTAAGTGAATAGTCACCAGTGGTGTTATTATTGTTATTATTAATGAATGAATGACCGGGTGAGAGCTTGGCATCTGAGATTTCCCTATTCGAATGTTCTATGTAGTGACCTAACTATTTACAGGGAAAATGGATAACTCTATCCTGAAGCAGACCCAGCAGATCGCTCGCAACAAGGAAACAAGGAAACAAATTATTATTATTATTATAAAGACCCGAGACAGCAATCCTAACCCTAACCCTAAAACATTTTGCCCTAAAACACTGAATTGAGTTGAGTTGTCTTTTTTTTTTGATCTCACCCCAACCTCATCATTTCTGATCCAGGAATTGCCATTTTGCACCGATTTTTTTTTATTAAAAAAAAGCCATTGTGCACATTTTTTCCCCCCTTCCCCCTGTGCGAAGAACCTTTCCCCGTGTCATTTTCCCCACGATATGGGGGAAGAGTTCTACCTACAGGGGAGGAAAAAAACGAAACTCACTTGATGTTTTGGCGTTGCTATGTTTTGTGGATTGGTAGAGAATCAGGCTCTGGGCAATTTGTGTCTCTGGTGTGGATGTGGCAATCTGTTAAGGTGGGAGCTATGTGAGTATATATTGTATATTGATTATTTTACTTTCATTTGTAGGCAGCAGGATACTGTTCTCGCTGTAGGGAAATGCTAAGGCTTCCAGATAAATAATAATAATTCTTACATTCGATAATAATAATTCTTACATTTGATAATAATAATTCTTACATTTGATAATAACAATTCTTACATTTGATAATAATAATTCTTACATTTGATAATAACAATTCTTACATTCGATAATAATAATTCTTACATTGGGTAATAATATTTCTTACATTTGATATTAATGATAATTCTTACATTCGATAATAATAATAATTCTTACACTGGGTAATAATATTTCTTACATTTGATATTAATGATAATTCTTACATTCGATAATAATAAGAAGAATTCTTACATTTGATATAGTGCCTTATCATAGAATCATAGTATCATAGAATGTTACGGCACAGAAGGAGGCCATTCGGCCCATCGAGTCTGTGCGGCTCTTTGACAGAGCAACTGACTTTTATTAACCCCACTCACCAACTTTCTCCCCATAACTCTGCAAACCTGTCTTCTCCAGATACCTATCCAGTTCTCTCTTAAAAGCTGTTATCGAATTGGACTTCACTGCCCTTTCGGGCGGATCATTCCAAATTCTAACAACTCGCTGAGTGAAAACATTCCTTCTAACCTCCCCTCTGCTTCTTTTGGTAGATATCTTAAGACTGTGACCACGAGTCACAGACACACCTACCAGTGGAAACAGCTTTTCCCTATCTCGCCTGTCGAAACCTTTCATGATCTTGAAGACCTCTATCAGGTCCCCGCGTAACCTTCTCTGCTCTAATGGGAAAAGTCCTAACTTCTCCAGCCTGTCCTCATAGCTAAGGTTCCCCATTCCTGGTATCATTCTCGTGAATCTCCTCTGCACCCTTTCCAGTGCCTTAATATCCTTCCTGAGGTAAGGTGCCCAGAACTGGACGCAGTACTCCAGCTGAGGCCTAACCAGTGTTTTGTACAGATTAAGCATAACCCCTACTCTTATACTCTATGCCCCTACTAATGAAGCTCAGTACACCAAATGCCCTTTTTACTGCCCTATCTACCTGCTCTGCCACCTTCAATGAATCGCTTACTTGAACGCCCAGATCTCTCTGTACGTTCACCCCCCTTAAGATTGAGCTACCAAGTCTATATTGCCTCCTATCATTTTTCCTACCTAAGTGTATCACCTCACACTTATCTACATTGAAATCCATCTGCCACATGTCAGCCCATTCCACCATTCTGTGTATGTCTGCCTGCAGTCCGTCACAATCTTCTTCACTATTTACTACCCTACCTAACTTGGTATCATCTGCAAACTTGGAAATAGTGCTCTCTATGCCCAAGTCCAGATCATTAATATATATTAGAAAGAGCAGTGGTCCCAATACCGATCCCTGGGGGACACCGCTGCACACCTCCTTCCATTGCGAGAAACACCCATTAACCACCACCCTCTGCATTCTGTCACTCAGCCAGTTCCTAATCCAAACGGCTACTGTCCCCTTAATACCGTGGGCCTCCAGTTTTTTTATTAACCTCTTATGCGGTACTGTGTCAAAAGCCTTTTTAAAATCCATGTAAATAATGTCCACCGCATTTCCCTCATCAACCCTCACAGTCACCTCTTCAAAAAATTCTATTAGATTTGTTAGGCAAGATTTGCCTTTAACAAATCCATGTTGGGGGTCTCTAATTACCTCGTGTTCCTCTAAGTAGAGATTTATTCTGTCCCGGATTACGGTCTCCAGTAGCTTTCCTATTACCGAAGTTAGGCTGACTGGCCTGTAATTTCCGAGCTTTTCTTTATGCCCCTTTTTGTAGAGTGGGGTAACATTAGCCACTCTCCAGTCTCTTGGCACCACTCCTGTGTCCAATGACGATCGAAATATAATGGCCAAAGCCTCCGCTATTTGAACCCATATCTCCCACAGCAACCTTGGGTCAAACCCATCTGGTCCTGGTGACTTATCAATTTTGAGCCCAGTCAATCTTTTCAGAACTTTCTCTCTGTCTATAGTAATCTGATCTATGTCCTCTACCCTGTCATCCAATACTATGGCATCTGGGGCATCTGTTTCCGTTGTGAAGACAGGTGAAAAGTACTCGTTCAGTACATCAGGCATGTCCTCTGCCTCCACAACAAGATGGCCGTCATTGTCTTTGATTGGCCCCACCCTACCTTTAACTAACCTTTTTTTCCTTTATGTGCTTCTAAAAGTACTGTTTTATCATACTAAAATGTCCCAAAGAGTTTTCTGAATATTGTAAGAAGATGCAACAGCCAATTTGCACACAGCAATGTCCCAGAAACAGCCTTGGGAGTGATCAACCGTTTTTTTTAATCTGGGGAATTACTGATCAGGACACCAGGAAAACTCTCTTGTCTTTTTGAAGTGCCATTGGATCTTTAAAATCCACCTGATCAAGCAGATGAGACTTCAGAATACATATGATTTTTTTTGTTAGCCGGGTGTCTTAACATATGCAACAACAACAAGATTACATTTGTATAGCGTGAATGATCAAATAAAATTGATCATTCACTTCACGTCTGTTTGTGGGACATTGCTGTGCGCAAACTGGATGCCGAGTTTCGCTCACAAAATACAGGCAATCCACTGTATTATTATTATTATTTTACAGCTTGCATTTATATGACACCGTACTCACAAGTAGTGTCTCACTAATGATTTTAGCGATTTGTATCTTAGGATACAATTTATACTTGTACGCCTTTCACGTTGGGAGAACATCCCAAAGCGCTTGACAGTTCTGGCTGGGCACTGGAGCTGAGAGAGAGAGAGAGAGAGAGAGAGGGGAGGAGAGGAGAGATGACTGAAAGCGTGGGCAAAGAGGTACGGTGATGCGAACCTTCAAAGAGAGGAGGGAAGCACCCGATTCTTGGGGTCCATGCTTTCAAGAAGGGGCCAAAATGACCCCCCAAAATAAAGGCTTGTACTAATTTTATCTCCCACGTCCTGAAACTCATTACATTTGGTGCTTTCGCTCATCAGCTTGAAATAATTAACCCTTTTTTTTCTTCTTTTCCCCTCAGTGGGCTTGAAGTGTTCGCTTGATCCACTATGCCAGTTGATGTAGCCATGCAGCTATATATGCACGCTCCAATTCAAAGAGTAAGTTACAGAACCAAGAGATCGATGTATGTAAACAAGCCTCTGCGGCCCTGTATCCACCTTCACATCAACGAGGATTCACCAGAAACTAATCACAGAACCAAGGAGCACAAAAGGGTTTCCTTTGCCGACAGCAAAGGCCTGCCACTGACTTCAGTGAAGTTGTTCGACCTGAATGAGTTTGATATTTCCTTTCGTATAAATGAACTGATCAGTAATTTGTTAAGCCTCAAGACTGTAGACAAAGACAGTCTGTTGTTGGACTTTGACCAACCGACAGCAGATTACGTGGACTTTGAGAAACGTCTGGAATCTGACACCGTCTGCCTCGAAAACTGTATGTTAGAGGACAAGCTCATTGTGGGAACGGTCAAGGTGAAAAACCTGGCGTTCGAAAAATCTTTGAAAGTGAGGATAACGTTTGACACTTGGAAGAGTTTCCGAGAGCATGACTGCCGCTATGTCCTTGACCCGTACGGCGGGTCAGATCGAGACACTTTTGCCTTTGAATTCATTTGCCAGAATACATTGCCCCGCATGAAAGGGTGGAATTTGCAATTCGTTATGAAAGTGAGGGGAAAACTTGGTGGGACAGCAACTTGGGGCAAAATTACAGAATAATAAGATCGGAGCTGAAATGTGCTACGGAGACAACCAAACCCACCCAGCCACTGGATGCTATATTAGCTGAAGCCCACCATCTGCCTGGGTATGGGATGGAGTTTGATCAGTATGGTGGTCTAAGGTGCTCCTACGGTGTGTTCCCTGAATGGCCCAGCTACACAGACTATGAAAATAAGGGACCCTATTATTAACCAGGATTAATTGAGTCTGTCACCTTTGTGTTCGTCGAGATTAGAGTATGCCCTGCCTCTGCTGCTCTACGTGCTTCAGTCGCGAACATGGGATACGGAAGGGAAGTTCTGCTGACAATAATGATCAGAATATTCAAACGTTTTAAATGTTCATATTTAAAGCCAGGGTTTCTCTTGCTCGTTGCCACTTGTTGTAAATTCTATTTTTAAAAAATATATATATGGAACGAACGGTGCCTTCTGAGGATTTAAATGCCAGTTATTGCCTCTTTAAGCAAGAGGCCATGCTGTGTCTTCGTGATTACATGATTCGCCCACAAAATACAGTTTCTGTGAAGCAGCTTGAGACGTCTCAAAGTCGTGATAAGGCGCTGTGTTACGTGCAAGGATTATTATTATTACTGTTTCAGCTCTCTAGTGAACTTTGCAGATTTTTTTTTCCGGAAGCAGCCTCTTTATTCAAGGTATCTTCAATCAATCCAGATATGTTGTATCGTTTCAATCATCCCAGTTTTTAGTCGTACTCGAAATGGAACTTTGTCTCTTTGTGACTAAATGGAACTGAATAAATTGTTTTGTGTCTGAGTGAAAATCTTGCTGGTGGGATCATCATGCAGCACCAACGTTTAATTTAAACCTGTGCCTCACAATTGTTTTATGACCACAGACCAAAAAGGAAGATATTCAATTTTGACCTTTCGGAAAGTGTGAGAACAGTTTTTCTTTTACTGTAAGGAACTTCAATGAACTTGGAATGAAATTGCTGTTTTTTTCTTTCAGTTCCCTCTTGCTCCCCACCTCCTTCCCCAATTCATCGAATCACTACGTGCAATAAAAACAGCCTTTTACTGAAATGTTTTCTATTTATTGGTCTTTCACCCAGAAGTAGAGCTCTGATCGGTGTTCAAAGGGAATGAAGCATTTGAATTGGTTCTAATGCCAAGCCTGTGTCATGTGCTACCCCCACAAATATACAGTCAATTCACTTTACAGTATATTCTGTGAAGCGCTTTGAGACGTCGAGAAGACGTGAAAAGCGCTACATCAAATGCAAGGATTATTATTATTATTACCTGGCAAACTGGATCAGTCAGACTGCAGATGCTTAGTGCTTAACGTGTGCAATTTTTGCAACCAGTTTGCATTGAAAATGGTGACTGAGAGGGTGGATTTCTATTTTCCCCTCCCCATTGCCATTTTCTTAAATAATAGGTACTTGCATTTGCGACAACATCTATAACATCTTAAAGTGCTTCTTAACCTTTGTGCGATTTGCAGGTAAATAGGGAATCAATTTACCCACTTAGCAATGCCCCACAAACTGCCATGAAGTGACTGACCAGTTGTATTTGGGGGAATTGTTGGTCAGGACAGAGAGAAACTCCCTTCTCTTTTCGCTTAGTGCCATGGGAACTTCCACCTGAACAGGCAGACAGGACCTTGGTTTAACGTCTCATCCGAAGGATACATTACAGTACCTTGAATTAAGTACAACTTTAAAATTAACCTACCATTCGTTAACCTATTCACTGGGTTACCTCAAGAGAGGAGGCAGTGCTCGATTTAGTTTGGGGGAATGAAGTGGGACAAGTACCTAATCTGGAGGTGGGGAATACATTTTGGGAACATTGATCATAATTAGATTCCAAATACAAATAGACAGGGAAAGGCAAGACTCAACAACAACGACCAGATTACATTTGTATCACGCCTTTCACGTCAGGAGGACGTCCCAAGGCGCTGGACAGAGTACAGCACTTCAGACCCAAACTGGGATTGGTGGGGGAGGGGGGGAAGGGAGGGGAAGGGAGGTGGCCGATGGCATAGTCGAAGAGGAGGGTCTTGAGGCGAGATTTGAAGGAGGATAAGGAGGGGACGAAGTGGAGTGATTGGGGGATGGAATTCCAGAGGTTGGGGGCAGAGTGGCTGAAGGCTCTCCCACCAATGGCGGGGCGGGTGGGTTGGGGGACGTGGAGCAGGCCAGAGCCGGCTGAGCGGAGAGAGCGGGCGGGTTGGTAGGGGGTTAGGCGGTCGCAGAGGTAGGGTGGTGCGAGGCCATGGAGGGCTTTGTATGTGAGGACCAGGATCTTGAACTGGATCCTCTGAAGGATAGGGAGCCAATGGAGTCGGGCGAGAGTGGGGGAGATGGGGTCACGGAGTTTGGTGCGGGAGAGGACACGGGCTGCAGAGTTCTGGATTATCTGCAGCCTGTGGAGGGAGTGGTTGGGAAGGCTGACAAGCGGGGAGTTTGCATAGTCGATCCTGGAGGTGATGAAGGCATGAACAAGAGTTTCAGCGCCTGAGGGGTGAGGTAGTGGAGGAGTCGGGTGATGTTATGGAGGTGAGGAAAGGCAAAGCGGGTCATGGCTTGAATGTGGGGGAGAAAAGACAGTTGAGGGTCGAACAAGACACCGAGGTTCCTGACTGGCTGGTGAGTTGTGTAGTGTGCAACCATGGAGGGTGATGTTGCCAGAGCCTGAGGTGTAGAGGCGCTGGCGTGAGCCAATCAGGAGACCCTCAGTCTTGTTCACATTCAACTGTAGGAAATTTGCCCTCATCCAGGGCTTGATGTCCGACAGGCAGTCTGTCAGGACAGCAGTGGTCCCGGAGTTGAGGGTGGAGGCCGAAAGATAGAGTTGGGTGTCATCTGCATACATGTGGAAATTGTCCCATGTCTGCGGATGATGTCACCAAGGGGGAGCATTTAGATATTAAAGCGGAGAGGGTCAAGGACAGAGCCCTGGGGAACGCCAGATGTGACCGTGTGGGGACTGGAGGAGAAACCGTTAGAGGAAACGAAGTGGAGACGGTGAGAGAGATAGGAATTGAACCAGGCAAGGGCAGGTCCGTGATGATTGAGTAAAACGGAGAGGCGGTGTAGGAGGATGGAGTGTTTGACAGTGTCGAAGGCGGCAAAGAGGTGGAGGAGGACAAGGAGGCAGAGGGAGCCCTGATCACAGATGTTCAGAATGTCATTAGTGACTGTGACCCCCAGGGCTGTTTCTGTGCTGTGGGCAGTGCGGAACCCGGATTGGAGGGGTTCAAAGAGGGAATGGCGAGAGAGAAAGGAGCGGAGCTGGGACGCGACGACTCGTACCAGGACCTCAATAATAATAATAATAATAATAATAATAATAATAATCCTTGCATTTGATATAGCGCTTTTCACGTCGGGCGGACGTCCCAAAGCGCTTCACAGAACACACTGTAAAGTGAATTGACTGTATATTTGTGGGCGAACGCGGCAGCCAATTGCGCACAGCAATGTCCCACAAACAGTCGTGGATTGAAAATGACCAATTTATTATTGTTTTGTTTTGGAGGGATTATTATTAGGCTCTGTGTGGAGTAAGGAAACTTGCCCAAGGTTTCGCCCTCTGCCCGGAATTGAACTCAGGTCTCTCGGTTGCAAAGCGAGTGCTCTAACCACTGAGCCACAGGACTCGGAGGAGAGGAGTGGGAGGTGAGAGATGGGGACGGACGGCTTTTCTGGGGGTAACTAACCCCCGATCTGAAAAGTAGGCGGTCACCCCACCCCCGACTGTGTGTGTGTGGGGGGGGGACGGGACGGCGCTGTGCGCCATCGGCTGCCGCGTTTCGCCCACAGATACACACAGTCAATTCGCTTCACGGCGTATCCTGAGAAGCGCTTTGGGACGTCTCGACCACGTGATCGGTGGGGGTGGGGGGTGTGGGGGGGGGTCGAAGGTCAGCAGGGAGGGCGGAGGCTGGTCCTGGCCACGTGACTCCTGGGGCGGGCTGGCCCTGGCCACGTGACTCCTGGGGCGGGCTGGCCCTGGCCACGTGACTCCTGGGGAGGGCTGGCCCTGGCCACGTGACTGCGGGGGAGGGCTGGCCCTGGCCACGTGACTGGGGCCTGGCACCGGCCGCCCCTCCCACCCACCCTTCCCTCACGTCCGCCCGAGGACTCACACGTCACGGCGGAGCCCCGCGCACGCGCCTCGCTGGCAGCGCGGCGCCGGGGGGGGGGGGGAACCGAGCCGGAAGCGAGCGGACGCACTTCCGGAGACGGCCCGGAAGCCGCCGCTCGAGACAGACATGAAATCCGTGAGTGGCATTGAAACAATTTACACCATTGTCAAAACCCCCAAATCATCACTACACCTCTACACCTCTACACCATAACCACTACACCACTACACCAACTCCACTACTCCACTACACCATCACCACTACACCTCTACACCAACTCCACTACACCACAACCACTACACCATCACCACTACACCACTACACCAACTCCACTACACCATCACCACTACACCATAACCACTACACCTCTACACCAACTCCACTACACCACAACCACTACACCAACACCACTACACCATCACCACTACACCAACTCCACTACACCAACTCCACTACACCAACTCCACTACACCACTACACCAACTCCACTACACCAACTCCACTACACCACTACACCAACTCCACTACACCACAACCACTACACCAACACCACTACACCACTACACCATCACCACTACACCAACTCCACTACACCAACTCCACTACACCAACTCCACTACACCACTACACCAACTCCACTACACCAACTCCACTACATCACTACACCAACTCCACTACACCACTACACCAACTGCACTACACCAACTCCACTACACCAACTCCACTACACCACTACACCAACTCCACTACACCAACACCACTACACCAACTCCACTACACCAACTCCACTACACCAACTCCACTACACCACTACACCAACTCCACTACACCACTACACCAACTCCACTACACCAACACCACTACACCACTACACCAACTCCACTACACCACTACACCAACACCACTACACCAACACCACTACACCACTACACCAACTCCACTACACCACTACACCAACTCCACTACACCACTACACCAACTCCACTACACCAACTCCACTACACCACTACACCACTACACCAACACCACTACACCAACTCCACTACACCACTACACCAACTCCACTACACCAACTCCACTACACCAACTCCACTACACCAACTCCACTACACCAACTCCACTACACCAACACCACTACACCACTACACCAACTCCACTACACCAACTCCACTATACCAACACCACTACACCACTACACCAACACCACTACACCACTACACCAACTCCACTACACCAACACCACTACACCACTACACCAACTCCACTACACCACTACACCATCACCAACACCTCTACACCATCACCACTACACCACTACACCAACACCACTACACCACTACACCATCACCACTACACCAACTCCACTACACCACTACACCAACTCCACTACACCACTACACCATCACCACTACACCAACTCCACTACACCACTACACCATCACCACTACACCACTACACCATCACCACTACACCAACACCACTACACCATCACCACTACACCAACTCCACTACACCACTACACCTCTACACCATCACCAACACCTCTACACCACTACACCATCACCAACACCACTACACCATCACCACTACACCACTACACCATCACCAACACCACTACACCATCACCAACACCACTACACCATCACCACTACACCACTACACCATCACCAACACCACTACACCATCACCAACACCACTACACCACTACACCACTACACCATCACCACTACACCATCACCAACACCACTACACCACTACACCATCACCACTACACCACTACACCATCACCACTACACCACTACACCATCACTACTACACCACTACACCATCACCACTACACCATCACCAACACCACTACACCATCACCACTACACCATCACCTCCACCTCTACACCATCACCTCTACACCATCACCAACACCACTACACCATCACCACTACACCACTACACCATCACCACTACACCATCACCACTACACCATCACCTCCACCTCTACACCATCACCTCTACACCATCACCAACACCACTACACCATCACCACTACACCACTACACCATCACTACTACACCACTACACCATCACCTCTACACCATCACCAACACCTCTACACCATCACCAACACCTCTACACCATCACCAACACCTCTACACCATCACCAACACCACTACACCATCACCTCTACACCATCACCAACACCACTACACCATCACCAACACCACTACACCACTACACCATCACCACTACAACAACACCACTACACCAACACCACTACACCATCACCACTACACCGTCACCAACACCACTACACCATCACCAACACCTCTACACCATCACCAACACCACTACACCATCACCACTACACCATCACCTCTACACTAACAACACTACACCATGACCAACACCACTACACCATCACCAACACCTCTACACCATCACCAACACCACTACACCATCACCTCCACCACTACACCATCACCTCCACCACTACACCATCACCTCCACCACTATACCATCACATCCACCACTACACCATCACCAACACCACTACACCATCACAAACACCTCTACACCTCCACCACTACACCCTCACCTCCACCTCTACTCAATCACCTCCACCTCTACACCATCACCAACACCTCTACACCATCACCTCCACCACTACACCATCACCAACACCACTGCACCATCACCTCCACCACTACACCATCACTTACACCACTACACCGTCACCAACACCTCTACACCATCACCTACACCACTACACCATCACCTCCACCACTACACCATCACCTACACCCCCTATACCATCACCTACACCACTACACCATCACCAACACCACTACACCATCACCTCCACCACTACACCATCACCAACACCTCTACACCATCACCTCCACCACTACACCATCACCAACTACACTGCACCATCACCTCCACCACTACACCATCACCTCCACCACTACACCATCACCAACACCTCTACACCATCACCTCCACCACTACACCATCACCAACTCCACTACACCATCACCAACACCTCTACACCATCACCTCCACCACTACACCATCACCAACTACACTGCACCATCACCTCCACCACTACACCATCACCTCCACCACTACACCATCACCAACACCTCTACACCATCACCTCCACCACTACACCATCACCAACTCCACTACACCATCACCTCCACCACTACACCATCACCTCCACCTCTATACCATCACCACTACACCATCACCTCCACCACTACACCATCACCAACACCACTACACCATCACCAACACCACTACACCATCACCAACACCACTACACCATCATCAACACCACTACACCATCACCTCCACCACTACACCATCACCAACACCACTACACCATCACCAACACCACTACACCATCACAAACACCTCTACACCATCACCAACACCACTACACCATCACCTCCACCACTACACCATCACCTCCACCACTACACCATCACCAACACCACTACACCATCACAAACACCTCTACACCATCACTTCCACCATTACACCATCATCAACACCACTACACCATCACAAACACCTCTACACCTCCACCACTACACCATCACCTCCACCACTACACCATCACCTCCACCACTATACCATCACCTCCACCACTACACCATCACCTCCACCACTACACCATCACCTCCACCTCTACACCATCACCAACACCTCTACACCATCACCTCCACCACTACACCATCACCAACAGCACTACACCATCACAAACACCTCTACACCTCCACCACTACACCATCACAAACACCTCTACACCTCCACCACTACACCATCACCTCCACCTCTACACCATCACCTCTACACCATCACCTCCACCACTACACCATCACCTCCACCACTACACCATCACCTCTACACTAACACCACTACACCATCACCAACACCACTACACCATCACCAACACCTCTACACCATCACCAACACCACTACACCATCACCTCCACCACTACACCATCACCTCCACCACTATACCATCACCTCCACCACTACACCATCACCTCCACCACTACACCATCACCAACACCACTACACCATCACAAACACCTCTACACCTCCACCACTACACCATCACAAACACCTCTACACCTCCACCACTACACCATCACCTCCACCTCTACTCCATCACCTCCACCTCTACACCATCACCTCCACCTCTACACCATCACCAACACCTCTACACCACCACCTCCACCACTACACCATCACCAACACCACTGCACCATCACCTCCACCACTACACCATCACTTACACCACTACACCGTCACCAACACCTCTACACCATCACCTACACCCCCTATACCATCACCTACACCACTACACCATCACCAACACCTCTACACCATCACCAACACCACTACACCATCACCTCCACCACTACACCATCACCAACACCTCTACACCATCACCTCCACCACTACACCATCACCAACACCACTACACCATCACAAACACCTCTACACCTCCACCACTACACCATCACAAACACCTCTACACCTCCAACACTACACCATCACAAACACCTCTACACCATCACCTCCACCTCTACACCATCACCTCCACCTCTACACCATCACCAACACCTCTACACCATCACCTCCACCACTACACCATCACCAACACCACTGCACCATCACCTCCACCACTACACCATCACTTACACCACTACACAGTCACCAACACCTCTACACCATCACCTACACCACTACACCATCACCTCCACCACTACACCATCACCTACACCCCCTATACCATCACCTACACCACTAAACCATCACCAACACCTCTACACCATCACCAACACCACTACACCATCACCTCCACCACTACACCATCACCAACACCTCTACACCATCACCTCCACCACTACACCATCACCAACTACACTACACCATCACCTCCACCACTACACCATCACCTCCACCACTACACCATCACCAACACCTCTACACCATCACCTCCACCACTACACCATCACCAACTCCACTACACCATCACCTCCACCACTACACCATCACCTCCACCTCTATACCATCACCACTACACCATCACCAACACCACTACACCATCACCTCCACCACTACACCATCACCAACACCACTACACCATCACCAACACCACTACACCATCACCAACACCACTACACCATCATCAACACCACTACACCATCACCTCCACCACTACACCATCACCAACACCACTACACCATCACCAACACCACTACACCATCACAAACACCTCTACACCATCACCAACACCACTACACCATCACCTCCACCACTACACCATCACCTCCACCACTACACCATCACCAACACCACTACACCATCACAAACACCTCTACACCATCACTTCCACCATTACACCATCATCAACACCACTACACCATCACAAACACCTCTACACCTCCACCACTGCACCATCACCTCCACCACTACACCATCACCTCCACCACTATACCATCACCTCCACCACTACACCATCACCTCCACCACTACACCATCACCTCCACCTCTACACCATCACCAACACCTCTACACCATCACCTCCACCACTACACCATCACCAACAGCACTACACCATCACAAACACCTCTACACCTCCACCACTACACCATCACAAACAGCACTACACCTCCACCACTACACCATCACCTCCACCTCTACACCATCACCTCTACACCGTCACCAACACCTCTACACCATCACCTACACCATCACCTCCACCACTACACCATCACCTCCACCACTACACCGTCACCAACACCTCTACACCATCACCTACACCACTACACCATCACCTCCACCACTACACCATCACCTCCACCACTACACCATCACCTACACCCCCTATACCATCACCTACACCACTACACCATCACCAACACCACTACACCATCGCCTCCACCACTACACCATCACCAACACCTCTACACCATCACCTCCACCCCCTATACCATCACCAAAACCCCCAAACCATCACCTCCACCACTACACCATCACCTACACCATCATATACACCCCTAAACCATCATGTATACCCCTAAACCATCATATACACCCCTATACCATCGTATACACCCCTATACCATCATAAACACACCCTATATCATCATATACCATTATAAATACACCCTATATCAATGCAAGTTGAAATGCTGGCATTTTCTAATAATCTCCTTCATTACATTTGAAAGTAATGTTCCAGCTGTCACACTGCATAATTCCACCTGAGAGTTTTATCTGAAGTAATAGTTTCCTGTGATTTCAGGCCAAACAACCCTGCAGAATTGATGGACAGGAGGAGAGGGTAAAAACTAGCCCCGGTGCCACTGTCAAAGATTTCAGTGACCCACTGTTCAAAGAAATTGCTGTTACAAATGGTCATATCAACAGGATGACTCGCGAGGAGCTCCGAGCAAAGCTGGCAGATTTCTATCTGGAAACTAGGTGAGAATTGTTCCGGAAAATGTTTGATTAGAAGCCGAAAAGGAAGAGAATGTCCTTATAGTCGATAATATTAACCGGTCTGTTACGCTGGGGTCAGGTGGCCTTTCCATGTTAATAAGACTCGAGCTGCTCGGACTGTCTTTGGGGGAAAAAAAGACATGAATAGTATCTAAAAATTGCAATGAATGGCATACAATACCTTCAGTTATGCAATTTATGGGGTCGGGGGGGCGGGGAGGGGAGGGGAAGGTGACCGATGGCGTGGTCGAAGAGGAGGGTCTTGAGGCGGGACTTGAAGGAGGATAAGGAGGGGGACGAGGCAGAGGGGAGATGTAATTCCAGAGGTTGGGCGCAGAGTGGCTGAAGGCTCTCCCGCCAACGGTGGGACGGGGGGGGACGTATATCTTCTAAGGTATAAGCCTTTACGGGACAGCCCCGTTAGAACGCGCTCCGGTTGAAATTCACGTAAGCGCGTACGGGTTTACTCTGCACCCGCATTATATCAGAAGCGAAGTTCACCTCCCGCCAAGCGTTCACCGCACACCTCTGCCCCCCCCCCCCCCCTTCTGTTCAGCTGGCACCGGCCCCCATCCCCTCCAGGCCGCAATTGTGGCCGTGCCTTCAGGCCACTACCCCCCCTAACCTCTGGAACTTCCTGCGAATGACGATTGCGGTGACTTGTCTGAAAACCGTCACTAGATTCGAAATGAATAGAAACCGAAGCCCGCGGACAAAATAGCCTCTACACCCTTCACGTTCACTGAAAGTTGAGGAGCTCGTAGTAGATCATAACAATAATAACAATAATAATGATGAATGTGATATCTTCTGCATGATATCCATTTTTTTGTCTAATCTCTTCCCCGCTGATGCACTTCAGAGGAGTCAATGATGTGCTGAGGAAACGGCTGAAGAATTACTACAAGAAACAGAAGATGACTCAGAGTCTGCGGACAGACCTCGACCAGTCGGACACGTACTACGATTACCTCTGCGTCATTGACTTTGAAGCAACGTGTGAAGAGAATAACCCGCCCGAATACCTGCATGAGATCATTGAATTCCCTATTGCCCTCGTGAATACTCGCACCCTGGAGATTGTGAGTAGTTATGTGTTTACTGCACCTGGTATTGAGATTAGGGGAAGGGACCTGAAGCTGTATGCTGTAATGCTGATGATTGCTCTTGGGGGTTTCTTCTCGAGGCATCACGTTTCCACGCGCTGACCCCACTTTTAAATTATTATTAAACCCCAGCGCCTTGGGACGTCCTCCCGACCTGAAAGGCGCAACACAAATGTAATATTGTTATTCGCCCAGAGTCGCAATGCTTCTGTAAATGGTGCTATTTCTTGTTATCCGGGTCAACAAATAGCATTCAGGAGAAATAGTGTTTCTTCGCTGGGCGAGGTGTTTGTATCACCACTTGCCAGAGCTAGCGTGAAAAAGGAATGATAGTGCATTACGGTGTTGTCATGGGAGCGTTAACTGCTGAAGCAAAAGCGCAACTTGGTACAGTTCGTGCAGATAAAGGCAATGTTATGGCAATGTTATCTTATGTATTTGAATTTCCAGAAGGTGTTTGATAAGGTTCCACGTGGAGAACTGGTTGAGAGCTCACGGTATGGGGGGGGAAGCAGGAGGAAATGCGGTGGCTTGGATAGAAAGGTGCCTGAAGGAGAGAGTAGGGCTAAAACAATGTTTTTCTAGTTAATTAGTGGCATCCCGCAGGGGTCTATACCGGGGCCCCGGTTTTCCATTCATTATAATAAAAATCCTTGATTTTGATTTAGCTCCGCATCACGTCGTCGAGACGTCTCGAAGCACTTCTCAGGACATACTGCGCTGTGCGTATTTTGTAGGCAAAATGCAGCAGCCAATTTATGCTCAACAGTGTCGCACAGAGTCTTGAAGTGAGAGACTGATTTTAATTGGATTATTGGCCAGAACACCTCCTTATATCTAAGTCAAGGTCACTATTGATATTTAATTGATGAATAGATTTAGGGAGTACGGTATTGAAGTTTGTGGATGATATCAAGTTAAGAGGTATAGTGAGGAGGATGGCAAGTGGACTGCCGGTGGATTTAAATAGATTAGCGTTATGGGCAGATCAGTGGCAGATGATGTCTAATGCAGCGAAATATGAAGTGATTCGTTTTGGTAGAAGAAATGAGGGAATGGAGCAAATATTGAACGGCAGCATCTTGCAAAGAGAAGGGAAGCAAAGGAACTTGGGAATGCAGGTATATACAACAGCAACTTGCACGTATATAGCGCCCTCCACGCCGCAGGATAGTCTCTCAGAGCACTTGCATAAAAGGCAGGGTAAGTGAAAGGGGCTGTGAATAAAGCTAATAGTAGTCTGGGTTTTTTTGCTAACAGAAAATCTTATTTGTTCTTCCCCAGGAGGATACGTTCCAGGAATATGTCAAGCCTGAATTAAAACCTGAGCTTACTGAGTTCTGCACCAAGCTCACAGGCATCACACAGGTAACCTGACTCAACCACCAGCGTGTAGACGTTCAATTTATTATGACTTGATAGGTAATGGGAGATTTTAACATGGTAGAAATCTACGTGTATGTGTTCTGTGCATATTCTCGGATAGATTGTGCTTCAATTCCAAATGCAATAACTGGTTCAGGACCTTCACGTCTAGTTTACATTGCACATTTTGTGGCAGTTCACTGTAGGGAAAAAAACTACAGTGTAGATTGAGACTGAGTAAAAAAAAAAATGACAACGCGATTTACCCTGGAGCCTGGCTGCCAAGACATCCTTCTGAGGGATTACAGCAGTTTGTAGTATAAATACAGCCGGTGACGTGATTCACTGAGTAATTCTGCACCTCAAGTGATTGCCTCTTTAATACCATTGAAAAACTTGCATTGCTTAAGCGAAGTTCTGAGGATATTGATAAATCTCTTCTCATCCCACCTGGTGAAAGTAATTTGAAGCAGGAAATATAAACCAAGCCTCCCGCTCCCATCGCTCTCCTGCTTGAGCAGCAGCGCATTGCAACAGTGGCTCCCGTCTTCAGCAACAGGGAGTCTGAACAACAAACTCCTGTCTTAATGTCCCAAATACATTTGAGGCTACTTTCAAATGGGAGTTGGGATTTCTGTGTAATAGTCAATAGTAAAGCTGTAACGGATCGTTTCTATTGGATATTGTACAGGAATCGCAACTGCTTTTGAGGGCTGGCTCCTGTGTTTTCTCTTGCCTGTCTCGCTAGCATTCTACCTCTAGGTCTATTCTATCTGTTCCTCTGGCCACCCCCTGCCTTCTTCTGTACAAAATTATCAATGCTTCCTTTTGCTTTACCCCAAAAATCCACCTGTGGGCATGTGTGAAATTGCTGTAATATAAACCCAACATTAGTAATCAGTCAATGAGAATCATGTCTTTGACAATGTTGCTGTTTGCACACAGGGATTTCCTTTAATTCCTTTACATAAGCAACAAATGGAGTAGAAATGGACTAAGACAAACAATGGTACATAGTGTAGTGAAGCTCTGTAGAGCCCTGTCGGTGAGTGTCCCACAACTACTAAGCAGAGCTGTATCAGGGGGCAGGTGTCAGTGCTTCCGCATTCACTGTGCAGGCGTGCAAATAGGACAGCTGGCTTCATTGGTGTTTCAAAACACTGGCCGGCAATCTGAGAAGGCAAAATAATTGACGTCCAGGTGATCAGATCCCTGTCAGTGTCACACAGTGCGCAGAAAGTGAAGTTGACTTTGACCTGACGACGCAGAATTGTGACCATTCTGGATTTTTGATCACCATCCGGCGATCTGAAGGACGAGTGAAGGTGATCACTCTCGTTTGCGATTTTTGGGGGTAAATAAATATCAGGGTCCACACCCTCAACCACGCGATAAGCATCTTTCCCATCTTAATTTAGCCCCTTATAATGGGGTCCTGCTGTATTTGCTCAATACTCTGTAAACTGATAAGACGACTAAATTGTCTAAACGGGAGCAGTCACCTTTTTAAGTATTGTGTTCCAGGAAATGGTTGATAAGGCAGGGAGCTTCCCAGATGTGTTTCAACGAGTCGTTGACTGGATGAGAGAGAAGGAACTGGGAACCACGCATAAATATGCAGTGCTGACTGACGGGTATGTACCAGTGTGAAAAAAAGTGAAGAAATAAAAGCAAAGAGGTGGAAGGGTGTTTACTTAAGAATGCGATTGAAGGTTACATACATCAGAAATCTTGAGTGAACGTAATTCAGCGTAGTAGACGCGAGGAAGTGGTGGTCAGACTTCATTTGGAGTACGGTAAACCCCTGACTTACTGAACTCTGGGGATCTGGAACTCGGGCTTATCTGGACTGGGCCGAAACATAAATATGTAAAAAAAAAGATAATTAGACCCCCGTCGGCCCACCTCTCCTCACAGTGCTTGCCAGCCATCAGCGACCTGGGATATCTGCTTGGACTTGTTTGAATCCCATCTGCTCACAGGATTCAAACGATTACATTGCCGGGACCGGCATTCACCAGCATTTTTGAAAAGAGATAATGAATGCTGACACGGGCCTCTAAAAGAAAGTGGGAATCAGGAAAGATTTCTTCACACGCAGAGGGTTGCAAAAATGTGGAACGTATTGCTGATTGAGAAAGTTGGGGCAATAAGGTTATGATGGGATATTGAAAAAGGGAAATATCTAATAATAATATCTAATATTTAATGTCTAATAAATGGTGGGGGGGAAAAAGACTAAATACTGCAGATGCTGGAAATCTGAACACGCAGCAGGTCAGGCAGCATCTATGGAGAGAGGAAAGTGAGTTAACGTTTCAGGGCAATGACCTTCCGGCAGAACTGGGAGCTGTTGGAAGAGCACGACACGGGTCCCCCAGTTCTGTCGAAAGGTCAGCGACCTGAAATGTTACCTCACTTTCCTCTCTCCATAGATGCTGCCTGACCTGCTGAGTGATCCCAGCGACTTCTGTTGTTTATAATAATGGTGGAACGTGCTCGACAGGCTGAATATTGCACGGTCACACTATGGGGCGTATATTGGTTTCATTGTGAATCCTCTTGATTTTCAGGTCCTGGGACATGAGCAAATTCCTCAATGTTCAGTGTCGTCTGAGCTCCATCCAATATCCACGATTTGCAAAGAAATGGATCAACATCCGAAAGAGCTATGGCAACTTCTATAAGGTTTGATCTTTTTTTTGTCTTTTTACGGATTCATAACCCACAGTATAATCGTGTACACTGTCAAAAATGGCTACGATCAGTGCTGGGCTGTGTCTGTGTGCGCGTGTGTGCGTGCACAGGAAGCAGGCAACTTTTCTTATCAGTGTTTCTAGCATTTGTTTGATTCCCAGGCGGGGCTAAACCTTAGTCAAGTATCTTTACTCCACACACTTTTGTTATCTAGAAGTAGGAACCCTGTTGCTAGACAATTGATGGATCGCTTTCCGGGGGTAATAATTCCTTTTAAGAAATGTAGTCACTCAATCCCTGGCTGTGTGCAGTTTTGCCCACAAAATGTACAGTCAAGTGACTTTACAGTATATTCTGCAAAGCCCTTGAGACGTCTCAAAGATGTAAGGTGCTATATCAAATGCATCGATTATTATTATTTCTACACTGAAATGCCCGTTGAACAGTAACCACTGAATGTATATTGTACTGTAGTATTTGTGCTATTTGCTGCGACATGAGGGTTTCTCCAGTTTGCTTTTCTCCAAAACTGTACTTGATCTTTGTAGTTTAGCAGTTTGTGCTTTTTCCTCCTACCAGTGTGGCAAATATTTTCGTACAAATCGGTCGAAGCTTCGTTTTCTACTCTTGCAATTGTCTTGATGCTTTTTACTAAACCTTGATGATCTGACGTGGGTTTTCTAACCTTCTCCTAGGTTTCCAGAATGCAGACAAAACTAACTTCTATGCTTGAAAAGCTCGGAATGAAATACGAAGGCCGACCTCATTCGGGGCTGGATGATTCGCGAAATATCGCTCGAATTGCCATCCGGATGCTCCAGGATGGCTGTGAACTGCGAGTGAACGAAACACTGCATGCAGGGCAACTCATGAGCGTGCCAGGCACTGCTCCTTTGGAAACTGCGCCCCCTCCCCGCTCACCATGGCACAAAAAATAGTCGCGGCTCGATCCTTGGGCACTTCTGAGCCCAGGTCACTTTTTACATGTTATAAAGGACTCTACGTTGCTTTGGAGACCCGGCAGCATTCTGTTTTGTTGTGGTATTTTATAGATTCTTAGTCATAGGATTACAGTAGTGTGTTTCACTTTTCAATTTCCATACCAGTGCGCTACTATTAGTTCTTCGTGATACAAATACTGGTCAGAGGATGAAACGGTAAGACAATTGACATCGGTCCTCTGTAGAAACTCAATAGCAATAGTTAGAAAATTTGACTTGAAAGAAAAATAAACCTGAAAATTACTATTCCGTAACGTTAACGCAGGAAAAGGACGCGTCTTTATGGGTTCACAACCCCTGAACCCTCAGGCACTGCGGTTACGAGGTGTAAAATTTGTGTCAGGCCTTTTTCGATAGAGTTCCAGGAGCTGATACACAAAGCATAAAGTCTGAAGTGTCTATCGTGTCATGTGGGAGTTCTTCAGTTCTGAATGCATGATCGAACTTCAGCACGTTAAAGAGTTTGACGAACTGTGGCAAGTTGTCAGAATGCTATTCATGTGAATCCACTGTGTGCATTGTCTTTACTTTCTGTGGGTCTGTATGAATTCATGCTGCGCGCGGAGAGCTTCAGTGTGACAAATATTTGGCACGCAGCATGTAATCAGAACAGCTTACTCTACTAGCCTCGCAGCCACTTAACTATTTTGACGTTACTTTGTTTATGTGGTCCAAGCCTTCTCTCCTTTTCTAACCTGGAAAGACAGTGAAGCCGGTATTATTGAACACGCTTTCAGCATAATTGCATGTTGCAATTTTATTAAGCAAACTTAATTACGGAATAAAAATGCTAACACTTTTCATGTGTGCTTCAGGACATTACATGATGACGTATTGATGCTCATTTTTTGGTTATTCATACGGTTAACATTTGTCCTCCCCTAAAAGCCATAATCTTAATATTTTTCTAAGCTTCCTTCAGTTTCCACATACCGTCGGATGACCAAGCGACCAAGCAAGCCTCTTATGTCAAGGTCACGCTGTCCTGCCCCAACAGATGCACAAAAGCAATGGAAGCTGATGCTCCCCGTGACACACAGGAACAGGAGTAGGCCATTCAGCCCCTCGAGCCTGTTCCGCCATTCTATGAGATCATGGCTGATCTGTACCTCAAGTCCGATTACCTGCCCTTGCCCCGTATCCCTTAAGACCTCACAAATAGCGATCCACCTCAGTGAGACCACAGAGGTAATTGAGCAGTTGTATGAACATGTCGAATTAACCAGAAAAGGTTTCGGTGGCGAGTTATAACGAGTGGCGAATTAGCCGCACGTATAAATACACCAATAAATGGGGCCGGGATATTGACAGCCTGATGACTTAAGTGGTAGTGACAAGTTAAGCCAGGGTTGCGTTATCAGGAGTGTATTGTATTCGTACTGGTGACTTTGTTCTCTTTGTGAGCATTTGAGCAGAAAGGAAAATGTTCAAGCAAATTATTCTCAGTGCCTCTTGTTTGGTTTTGCTAATTAAAATCTGATTTTTAAATTCAAATAGGTTACGTTTTGTTTTTGCCTCCGGTCTCCAGTCTGCAATATTTCAACAGTTTCCTATTCTGGGTACACTTTACTGTTGCGTTGCAATCTACCAACTGGTGGGCGAACGAGATCCTAGAATCACCTCAGAAGTATGACCAAGTCAAGGTTCACTGAGATACCTTACTTAATGAAGAAGGTGGCCTATTAAAGGAAATCACTGGAGCACAACCGAGGTTTTCATTATTAATAATAATAATCCTTGCATTTGATATAGCGCCTTATCACGTCTTCCGAGACGTCTCAAAGCGCTTCACAGGATACACTGCAAAGTGAATTGACTATACTTTGGGGGTGAAACGCGGCAGCCAATTGCGCACAGCAGCGTCCCCACAAACAGCTGAGGATTGAGTGACCAATTTTTTTTAAAAAGGAATTATTACCCCTGGAAAAGCCATCCGCCAATCGACTAACAACCAGGTTCCTACTTACTGCTGGGTAAACAGGTGTGTGGAGTAAGGAAACTTGCCTGATGTATCACCCTCCTGGGAATCGGACCCAAGTCCTCTCACTTGCGGATGCGAGTGCTCTAACCATTGAGCTACAGGATTCCTGGACTGGGCCCCACTGATATTTCCAGTGGGACCGCAATGGAGTAAACTCTGGGGCAACATTTTCCTGCCTCTGTTTATTCACAGACGCTGAGAAAGTGCTATAGGGGGAGAATTCCCCAATCTGATTGGAGACCAGGAATTTCTGCCTCGGATTGTACTGAGCAAGTTGCTCTCGGCCGGGTGAGTTCTGGGGTACTTCAGGATCTCGGTGTCACTGGGTTAAGGAGGGGGGAAATCAGGCAGAGTTCCTGCTCCTCGGCGCAGTGCCCCTTTCCAGAAAGTGCAGCACGTGACAAAATTTGGCTCAGCTGTGACGCACGTCCTTCCCCTCTTCGCTTAATATTGTTTTTACACGATTTCTGCGCCAAGTATGCGGGAGAATAAATTGAAAAATAAAATAAGACCATGTGCGGGGGGGGGGGGGGGGGGCAAGGCGCTGATTCCGAACAGCCTGCGTGCACAGCTGCTACACTTTACGGTTAAATGCCTGTGAAGTTCTTTGAGGCACGATGACGGCAAAAGATGCACAATAGCTATTGGTGCATTGTTATTATAAATGTGCAGTGATGCTTAACTTCATTTGACTGGCTACGTTCGTCATACAATACAGTCTTAAAAATGTATTATATAAACAATATACCATGTGCATTAACAGCCCCCTTACCTTCCCCCCCCCCCCACGTAATGTTGGGAACACAGTGCTTGAAAGACCCAAAGTTGACCACAGAGGTTGACCCGATTTTGTAAAGTACTTTATATTGTATTGTCCAGTTTGATCTGTGTTGTACGATTGTGTTAATGGCAATGGACTGAACACAGCTGATACCCTAACGGTAAAATGCTGTAGTACGATTTAATACTGGTCACTGTGGAGTCATTTCAGGACGTGAGCTTTCGCAATGTGCCATTTTCTGACGGGAGTAGCAACCCATTTAAAATCTGATTTCAATCTCTGACAGTCGAAGCCCCTTTCCTATATTGAAAATACTTCCAGTCGACTCCGCAACACTTTGAATGGAAGCCCTTTAAAAGCTCTGCTCTGCTCAACAACAACAACAACAACAAGAACTTGGGTTTATGCAGCGCCCTTCACGTGGGCTAGTGTCCCAGAAAGCTTGTCAGCGGTGGAGTCTGACAACGAGCCAAGGGGGAGAGGGAGGTGGGAGGTGACCGTAAACACGATCAAAAAGGGAAGGTCTTCAGGAGGGATTTGAGGTGGGGAAGGGAGGGAGGGAGGGAGGAAGGGAGGGAGGGGGCAAGGCGGAGGGATTGAGGGAGAGTTCCAGAATTTTGGGGCGTAGTGGCTGAAGGCACGGCCACCGATGATGGAACGGAGGGCACGAGGGACAATTAGGGAGGCCGGAGCCCGCCAAGTGGAGTGAGATTCCACTTCCCTACAGAACCGCACAGACCGAGGATCGTTTAGATGCATTTTCGAAGCTTCTTGTGGTTGCAACTGTTGCCTGACCGCCTGGTTCAGTTTTGTCCTGGACAGGGAGATAATAGGAATTTTCACCTGAGTGAAACAAAATGAGAGACCAATTATTTGTTAACATAGATGCAGACAGACATACAATATAACCTGTCACTGCAGTCAAAAAGCACTGCAGACTCACCCACCTCAGGAAAGGATTAGAGACTCCACAGAGGGTTTGTTGTTGTTGTTGTTGTTTAAGTGCCTCGATATATCGAGTGCATGAAGTGCACTCAATACATCTGATAATTCTGTTTCTGTATCAAAGAGGCTGCAAGTTCAGGCTGCAGGCAGTTGGGAGACTGATCCGTCTGAGTACAGACAGTCACCTATAATACTTACATTTTGCTTCTTCGTTTATCTTTTCTTCGTTGCTTGTTTTATTCCCCGTTGCTGGTGCAGTGGTGCTTGTGGTTCCCGCTGAGCATTTTGCTGAATTTCCTCTCTACACAGAAACGATAAGAGCCTCGTGGTTGTTGCTTGTTGTGAAGAATCATTTTGTTTGGAATAATAATAATAATAATGCTTGCATTTGGTATAGCGCCTTATCACGTCTTCGAGACGTCTCAAAGCGCTTCACAGAATGTACTGTAAAGTGAATTGATTGTATATTTTGTGGGTGAAACGCAGAGGCAATTACGCACAGCAGTGTCCCACAAACAGTCGTGGATTGAAGTGACCAATTTATTATTATTAATTTTTATTTTGAAGGAATTATTACCCCTGGAAAAGTGATCCGCCAATCGACTAACAACCAGTGCAGCATTCAAGAGATTTCTAACCCCCATCCTCCCCCTCCCGGTAACCAGGATTGCTGTAGCAATGACTGGATTGCAAAATAAAATAAATTGACGGGCCTTTTATCTATGGTTAACTATTCACTTGCTTCTTCCCTTCAAAGGAGGGCAGAATCAAATCAATTCCCACTCAAGCACTTAATGGAAACACTTGGGGCAGTGAAGCAAAGGCATTGGGTATTTGGAGAGAATAACAGATATTAGAGTAACACCAGTGTATTAGAGAGAATACACTGTCAGTATATTTCAAAATACTAGATTAATCCTGAACAATAGTACCTTCATTGTGAATACACTGTTATCCTCTGATACCGCAGATATTTTCATGTCAGTCATCATTGTTTGAAACAACAGACCTTTATGTTGATCTAATTTAATGAGGTGAATAGACTACTGTCAATTTGGGGGGTTAATAATAATGATTTCCTCTCTGTTCCTGACTATGGAATGTACGGGAATTGTGTATCTCTGCCTCACACCTTGGACTTGGGCACAAAGATTGATCGTCTCAGCCTGGAAACCTAGGGCAGGAGCTAAAACACTGGCGTCTGACACCCGCACAGCTAAATATGTCTCCACGTGCCTTAACCACGGTGACAAAAGCAATCCCTGCATTTGACATAACAATTCGTCAAAATAATTCACGGGATAGCTGTGAACTGCAGTGACCGTGCGTTTGTAGAGCGTTTTCCTTGAATTTTCTCCCTACACAGAAAGGATGAGAGACCTCAAGCTCTTGAGGTCGTGGCGAAGAATGATTTTCTTTATACACTGCAGCGTTGAGGAGACTTCTACCCCTCTTCCCCCCTCGTCTCCTCCCCAGTTGATAACGTGGAAGGGCAGACCAGTCACCGGGGCAGGGAGTGACAGGGAGTGACCCTGCAAGCTAAAGCCCTAACGAACAGGGTGGTCTTAGCTCAACAAGCAGTGGGAACCCTTGCAGTGAGTGTGTATTTTGAGTGTGAACATATTTTGTACTTACCCCCTCGGTGTCAGCAATCCATTCCCTTCTCGTATTCGGGTGGGTGTCAAAATACCTGATGGGAAAACACAGATTGAGAGGGCAGTGCTCAAGTAACCTGTATACATTTTGATGTTTGTCTCGGGGAATAAACGGTTTCACGTTAAACCATTATTTATGTAACGTAAACACAGGAGTCGCTGGGAACACTCAGCAGGTCAGGCAGCATCTATGGAGAGAGGAGAGTGAGTTAACGTTTCAGGTCGGTGATCTTTCTGACGAAACGTTAACTCACTTTTCTCTCTCTCACCTTCAGCCACTCTGCCCCCCCCACCCCCGCCCCCGCCCTCTGGATCTCCATCCCACAGTCCCTCCACCTCGCCCTCTCCCTTCCTCCTTCAAGATCCGTCTCAAGACCCTTCTCTTCGCCCGTGTCTTCGGTCAACCTCCTACCCCTACCCTCCCCTCCCCGCCCTCCAGCCCTCCTGATCCCAACCACCAGCTCGGGTGCGTAAACCTGACTGTCCAGCCTCTTGGGACGTCCTCCTGACATGAAAGGCCCGGTACAAATGTGATGTACTGTTACAGAACGTATTGCATCCCCCTCAGTATCAAGCTGTCCAGCAGGCTCACAGCTATAGGTAAACCGTTCCACAAGCTCAATAAAGAAGGTAATAAAACTGGGAAAGCCTGGTGTCGGAGGTCAACTGTGGCTCAGGTTTTAAATGGAATGAAGAAAGCTCAGCCCTCAGGCATTGGTTAGTTTGTTGACAGGTCCGGTGGCTAATAGTTCATCACGGGGAGGAAGAGGGGGAAAGAGGATTAAAACTCACATTCCCTGGGTTTCCAGGGCGTAATTATTTTCCAGTGTTGTAACAGTGAAAAGCGACGACACTGGGATATGTTTTAAAGTTGCTTTTACAGTGCTCAGTTAAGCCACAAGGTGTCGGGCTTTACCGTGAGGAAATTGTAGCTGCAGCATCTCACAAGATCTCAAGATGCTTCAATCATATATATATATATCTTTATTCATTTATATCATTATAAGTTGTTTCTTAGATTAGTTCAAAGTCCTGGCTTCAAAGACACTTCCTTGCAACCCATACCAGCACAGGGACCCCACTGTGAGTAAAGAAATAACTTCCTGATATTGATCCTGAAATTGTCATTTGC